GAAGCTGAAAATGTTACATGTGTATCTAGATATTCTGAAATGCAACAATCAATACATGGCGTTATTTTTGAAAATGCAGCAATCAATACATGCCGTTATTTTTGAAAATGACAAAAATTTACATAACATTCAGTATGTAAAGTGAAAGTTCAACCGTTATATTAAAAGATTATTTTAAAAAGCATGAAATTAATATCAGTAAGAATAAGTAAAATTTTAAATTTCTAATTTACTTCGTTCAAAAGTGGTATTTCCCCCCCCCAAAAAAGTATATATATAATATAATAAATAAATAAATAGGTAATCATCAGTTTCTAATGTGGTAATTACCAGAAAAAAGTGGTAATTACCAGAAAGAAGGGTTATTACCAATTTTAAAACAGAAAATTCAAAAAACTATTTTGATCACTCTGCACTTCACCACCTCAATTAAGAAACAGAGTCAGTTTCGATTGAGTCTTCATAACGTGATGACGACGACAATCAACTGTGCACATCAGAGTTTGATTAAAGAGCTTTGTGTTTATTTCAAACCAGATTAAAGTATTTATAGTACCTGTATATTTTCCTCATAACAATTACATTTGAAAGAACCTCAGCTTGTTCCAGGATACCAGAAGCAATGGCTGTGTCACTCCATACACAGACCGACCTGGCGTTGATGTATGGCCTCACAGCATCAGCAGTTGCAGAGGATGTGTCACACTTACTCACTGTCAACGACAGTAAAACAACGGCGACGTGTGCGTAAGTACCGGGGGTATGAAGTAATGCTGTCCTTGAATCACATTCAAAATGTCATACTGTGTTTTTCTTGAATTACAGTTTCTCGTGTAATAGTAATGGAAACGGAAGTATTTGACAGAAATATTTCCATACTTGGACTCTATGGAGCAAATGGTTTACCTTGAACATATTAGCGGAGAGCACTAATTATTTGTACTGGATATAAACGTCTTGTTGTCAAATACATTTCCCTCTCTTCTTTGTTATTTTAGGGCCAGTGGAATCTCTTTCGGTAGGTAATCGAGACGGGTTGATATCTGGTTTTGATGTGTAATATTTTCCTGCGTTTTGTATAATACTTAAGCCTGGAATTCGTTTTGATAAACATGTGGAAAACTAATTACATATAATGGTCAGCATACATGCTCAATTGCGCGTCATTGATGTATGGTAACGCTAAAGCAAACAAGTAAATAAATGCTGACAATGAAACGATTACCTTGACGTCAAATTATACCATTTTCACTTGTATGTCAAGACCAATTTGAACCCATGTAATTTCCGGAAATACTCAGAATAGAAGAAAGGGGCACATGCTAATCTCATCGTTCTATTCGATGTGAATTCTATAATTCTGTAATTCAGCCGCTTCCTGGCATAAGTAGATGTTCTATGGTTACCGTTATTACAGGCTATATAATACAACTTTGTTGTAACTGTTGTAACTGAATTTGTCAGTTTCATTAATATGATTTTTTCTTCTCAGTTTACTTGGTTTTCGGATCCACCGCCTACATTCTTTCAAATGAGCCATTAAACATACTTTTGGACCATCACATTTACCATCTGGCTAAATCAGTTACACACCAGTAATAATAAAAACCTGTGTAAATGATACATGAATGAGATTGGACCTTTCAACGCGTTAACTGCTGTAATCCTGTTTCGAGCTTTTTTACAACATGTTTTCAGATGACAAAGATCTAAGTGTGTGTTTATCAAGTTACAAAGGTGAAGAGATCACGCATCTGTTCGTTATATCACAACCTTATTCGTGGCACAATAAATGTTTGGTCATTGAAATATTGAAACGTGTGCGATCCATACCTGCTTGTATACACTTCAATAGTAAACTAGCTTTAGATTTACTTGCTACCTTTTACATCTTTATCTGTGATATCCTAGTTGGTTTACTGTCATTCTTCGACAGGACTTATATATTTCAGCTTTATGTATCAAGAATGTATGACTTCTTTTAGTCACGATATGGCTGAAATACCGCCGAATTGACTATAAATTTCTAACTCATTCACTCACTTTAAACATTAACTCCAAACACAAGAAATAAGCCCAAACAGATCTTATTGTGAGTCAAAGGGGAAATAGCGTTGAAATGTAAAAGGCTGGATCAACGAAAATCAGTAAAGACACCAGGTGTTCGCGAAAGAGGTTGCATATCCCGCTGTAATGTGAACCAAATGGTTATTATTATCATTATTATTTAACCGCACAACCACGTTAGTAAATATGACCCAACATTGTCCACACGCACCTTTACGAACGGGTTCTTCAACATGGTTAAAATTTGTTCATACCCGTACATGCAGTTATATTACTTACACACAGCGATTGAAAGACTTAAACAATTCAACAACATGCTGGATTTGTTTCAGTTTGACTTTGTAGCCATTGGCACAAGCAATGAACCAGGTAGCTAAGGCTATTTCTTAATCATGCATCGACTAATAACCATTAATCCGAATGTTTTTTTACATTGCAACAAAAACTTAACGTCCAACCCACCATCAGTTTTCAATCCTGTTGACACTTATTAAACTCATAATCTGCAACGAAAGTGTTACTTTTTAATAAAACATCAAAATTTATGTTGGTCCATCCAAGGGGTAAACGGAATTGCTATTAGATGCGTATAGATGTAGGTCTGTTTAATTATTCACGACCCACTTAATGTGACTTGTCATATTTCTTATAACACGCACTCAGTACGATTCCCGATAGTTGTAACTCATGTTCCAGTTTCATGACAATTTGCAACCAAACAGATTGAGAACACCCGTAACATTCATGGACCATCGAGTCAAAGAAGAGAATTGAGTTATTGGTGTGAATAAGACATATGTTGCACAATTCGGTAGACATACGAGAGCAAATAGAATCGTAAGAAATACTCTCATGTGGAAATAGTAGGGACATCGTTTGGCTGATCATTATTGTTTTCAGTGTAAGAATGGTCCTGTATGGATAGGATTTCTTGGCTGTGTAGACTCAAAGATGAAACCTACGATTGTGGGTTTGAATCCAGGTTGACACCGATTATGTTTCTTGGTCCATACCCGTACTGTGATAAGCGCCTCCCACGCCACGCTGTCACTTAGCTAATAGTGACCCTCGATCTTCCATTGCTCTATACAATGGTTTTGTTCTAAGACCTAAGCTGAAAGCAATTCTTAAATCCACGTACATCTGATGGAGCTCTATAAGTGATTCTATTGACTAAAGAGATCGTCGCATCTAAGACATGGCCATTTGAATGTCCACGGACATGAAGAGAAACAGTTGGACAGGTAGACAGATATATAGACAAAGTGATAAGATAGTTCGACAGGCTATGAGAATTATCTGGCTAATGTTGTGTCTGTCATATGTTAAAGGAACATACGCAACGCAATCTATCTATCTACCTATCTGTCTGTCTGTCTGTCTGTCTGTCTGTCTATGTTTTTCCATTTATTAGCTCCACGTGGAAATTGAATGGACTGTGTAACGGGGATAGAACGTATCATTGACCAGCGTTTGAAAGGTAGACGCTGGCCAGCTCTTGAATCCTGTCGTGGATGTCGTTGCAATGGTTGATGTCCATTCGTTTGAGACGACGTTGTTAATGGCAAATGGACGTTCTGTTAACGCTCAGTACCACTGTCTGAGGAGTCCAGACTGCGGATGTGGCGACGATCTATGCCCTTCGGCAACATAAATGGCCAAGAGATATAGCACAAGTGGTACATAAGAGGTTGTCAGCGAAAGCAAAGTGAACCGCATATTTTACGCATTGCGCTGCGCGTGAAATCGAAGATGTGCATTTCAAGAATACCAAAACCTACATAAGCGCACTGGTGTCGAGGGTGATATAAAAACGTGATAGTTTAATGTTTATTTGTTTTGAACGTCACACTCAGCAACAATGGGTAACGACGGAATTGGAGTTTGAGAAAGTCTTGCACTTACATCGAGTCACCTCCGTATCAGTACAATATCTTTTAGTCAGATCATTTACAAGGCCTAGGCATGAGTAACTCGCGGCGTGTGATGTAAGTTGATTGTTAACGGCGAAATAGACACGATAATATAGCACACAAATTCTTTATTCGCATAGTGTATGTAGGCCATCGGCCCATAATACAAATATTAAATGTTTGCAGCCATATATGATTGGCGGTGCTTTACAGCATAATAAATAAACATTGCTACATTTCTGATGACAAAGGTATTGTTTGAGGTCATTAATATATTGTTATTTGACAAAGAAGGGTATGTGTAAAACTTGGCAGGAATATATATAGTGCGCAAGGAACTGTATGCAGTACACACTAAAAGGAAATGATACTCGTTTTCTATATATCCATTGTCGCACGTGTTACATAACCTGTGATGTCTGTGCTTATTTGTGTATCTACCTGTCTCAATATTTAATTGATGGGAACCACAGCGAAACTGTGTGAGTTCAATGCGAAATTTACTAATGTTAATAACACTAAGATATGGTTCCATAGATAGATTACACTTGAAAAGAGAATATGAATAGGTTTTAGAACTTGATGATAACGAGTTATGCCATTCTTGATGGGATATATGCTGAGCCCTGATCACAAATTCAGACAGGAAGGAATTTAAGCTACTAATATACTGTCTTTCCCATATATAATCAAATCCGATATTGTATAGTAATAACTTAAGTTTTGATACCCAATTTCTTTTACCATGGCTAGCATCTTACAATAATAAGTTATAGCACTTTCTGGGCAAACGAGATGCTGGCATATTCAACAGTTTATACCAATATTTAATACAACGTTTGTAAGCATAAACATAGACAGGGTATCTGCCACACCCACCCCGAACGATGTGATTAGGGGTTGATATTTTGACACAAAGCAGATATTTACAAGCCAGAGTTTGAACTTTCTCGATTGGTGAACTAATATCACAATCCAACCCCCAGACTTCAGCCCCATAGAGTAGGATTTGTAACACACAAAAATCCTGAAAAAAATGTCACCGCGAATAGGTTTTAGCTTTGATAGTGACCTAATAATACTATAGAGAGCCTTTTTAGATTGTAGAATGGAATTATCAAAATGTTTATGCCACGACGAGCTTTGAGAAAGAAGAACACCCAAATACTTATACCATGAGACACAATCTATTCTCATGCCACTCAAAAACCACTTTTCATATTTAGAGAGCTTACCTCCATTTCTAAAGACAACAATTTTGGATTTATCTAGATTAACGGAAAGGTCATACTCGATACAATACTTTTCCAAAACATTAATACGCTTTTGTAGGCCACAGATAGTATCGGAGAGGAGTACTACGTCGTCAGCGAACAGCAAGAGAAATACTTGTGTTAGTTCTGGATGCATCTGTATACCAGGATAACAAGATGACTCAATTTCACTAGCCAAATCATCTTTAAAAATAGAAAACAGAAAGGGGCTTAAGACACACCCATGACGCACTCCAATATTACACTGGAACATTTCGGAAAACATATTATTTGATTTAACGCAAGATTTGACACAGTCATAGATGGATCGGACACAGTTCCACATTTGGTAGACACGCCCTTCTCATTTAATACAGACCATAATTTGCCCTATTCACCAAATCAAACGCTTTTGAAAAGTCTACAAAAAAGCATATAATTTCGCTTTTTTAGATAGAATCCTGTTAATAATAGCTTGTAAAATGAAAATGTTATCTATAGTCGAGTAACCAGCTCTGAACCCTGCCTGCGACTCGGAGATCTTGCAATAAGCATCAGTCCAAAACCTGAGCCTATTATTAATAACTGACACATATAGTTTACTAAAGACACTGAGAACTGTAATCCCTCTGTAATTGGACACCTTATTGACATCACCCTTCTTATGAACAGGAACTATTATACCCATAGACCACTGAGCTGGGAATATACCTTTATCAAAAAGCATATTGAATAAAATAGTAAGATATGGAATAATACCATCCAAAGAGTGCTTAAAGAACTCAGCAATAAGCTTATCATCCCCCGCTGATTTAGAACACTTGAGTGCATCTATTCCCACCATAATCTCATCAGCTGAGATTGGCGAGTAAAGAATAGCAGTGGTATTACTATCAGTATACGGTACGTTAACTTATTATTCACTAATGGATAGTTCTATTGGGCTCCCCATTATCTGAATATATATTAACTCAACGTACACTTCAGTATCTATCTGATGAAGGGGAAAAGCATTAACACTAAATGGTCGCAGTGAGATAAAACCCGCTTTGCGCAATTATCAACATATCAAGTAAATTCAAAGGGGTCAAGGCTCCACATCACGAGACAAGTGGGGGTCGTTTTCTTACACAGTCAGAAAACGTATAACATATCTTCCTCCTTCAACGTGCTGTATATATTCTCATTTTTGTCCGTATGTTAGAGGAAAGAAGAGGTTCGTCCGGAAGTGCAGGATACCAACGAAAACCTTCAAGAAAACAACCGCTTCAGTGAACTTGAGGTAATAGACATAAACCTGTGTCCACCATAAAATCGAACGTAGGCGAAGCTGAGATGACTTAAGGTTCAGTGAAAACCTAATGACAGGTCTTAGTATCATTAACTGTAATCTGAAAATGGAATTCGTAAAGAAATGTGAGTGTGAAAATGAGTAAAAATCCAGCTATTTTTTTAAATTAAGGAAGGCTTCTTCGTGCAACATGTTCCGTAATTACATTCGAGTAGGTCTGAATTGAATAACATTCGCGTTAAGTCTTAGGCAGGGTTTAGGAAATGTACATTTGAGGATTTCTGAAACTGGAGAAAAAATGCATTTTAAATGCACAAATAGATATTTCGGTGGACAAAAACATATCCAGATGCACTTTATGTTAGACCCAGTCAGCAGAGGGACAGACTTTGCGTTCACATTGAAAGGTCACTGTGACCTAGCAGTGTTCTGATTAGGTCATGGTGACACTAGAGTAACCATTGTTGAACTTGAGAAATCTTTTCATAATTGATTACTTTCAACACCGGCACTAACGATGGTGTAATTGACGTCTATAACAGTATTGAATTTGTCCAACATCATACACAGTTAATGGTCCGTCTCTAACATGGCGTCGGAATCACATTCACTTGGCTGCTGTATTTAAAGCCACTTTTTGTTTGAGGTACTGACTCAAAACAAAAACGTGTCATCCGCTTTAAGATCAAGGTTAAGTCAGTGTTCCGAAATTGAGTTAGTCCGTTCAGGCATTTGCACAAATAAGACAAGCAATTACAATTATGGTATATGCACACTACTTCCTGTTTATATTGATGTAATCAACATTTCTTTGGATACATTTCTGTGAAGTAGTTGCCATGAAAAGGTTTGGCATCTCAGAATAGGTTCACAGTTTCAAAATACTGAATAACGTGATTTATAAGGAACACCCGAAAGTAACAAACAGACGGAAGTTATATTTTAAAAATCAATGTGCATTTTCCATCACAAACATATCGCTATGAATATCCATTGTTGTTGCAAATAAGCTTGAGATGATAAAAATAGTAATTATATAAGTAATAGTTTAACATTGTAGTTATTGTTGAATACTCACATTGTGGTTTTATCACTTAAAGCGCCACAACGGCATGAACAATGGAGCATGTTCTTTTGATTTATTACTCCATTCTATCGATCCCTATCTACCTCACCTCGGTGTCTCTGAGTTAGTATTAAAACGTTTTGAGTGTCAGAAACATGTGAATATGCATGATACATTGAGGTACCTGAATGAAAATACATGAAACCATGTTTTCACTTAGTAAAGTGTGTGAGTGACTGACTGACTGAGTGAGTGAATGTTCTTTGTTGGCTTATGTTCCAATAAGCTTTATATTATGGTGGTGGTTTGACCAGGCAAACCAGAGTCCAATAGCGTGAGTACTGGTCTACGACAAATGGCGACATACAATCAGATAGGTAAGGAATGTAACCACCCAAATCTCATCTTAATCATCTTTGTACTATTGGTACTCAGAACATATGCTCCACAATTCCCGTCAATGCAAGTTGTCGTTACAGATTTGGTTGGAGAAGACGTGTTGTATTGGCAGCTGTTAACATAATAAACGTCCATGATGTCACAGTAGCGGTGGTGGTTTGTAGTTATGGTTGGAGAATACTTTGTGGTTAAAATTTTGATACCAGGTTCAGACAATTGTTAATGTAATAAAATAAATACTTTCATTGACAACTTGACAAGTTGGCCACGCCTACCACATCATTCATCTTAGTTATCGTTTTCAGTCATCCAACCAATTGAACATTGAAGTTGGTTTGTCCACATTACCGTCATCTGGCGACATCCGCGGCTATCCATCACCCTGGCATCCTTTGTGAGCATGTTCACACACTTCTTGCAATGACACAACATTCTGCTTTAGAATACGTAGCATTGAATAATACCAGTACTCAGGATTTTTAATATCTTGTTGGCCGGTTTCAGTAATCGGGTTTGTTGAACACTGAGTACAAAGTTCTTGATTAAAGGGGACATTTTGAAATCAACCAGACCTGATTTGGGTCGAAATTGATGAATTCTATTGGAAAAGAGTGCTGTGTCTGACATGGTTAAATGACTTTTGAATGCTGAAAGAATTTCGCTACTATCCCAGATTTTCTTTCCTTTTTGACCGACACTCAGTAATTGACCATCCAGCGACATTTAGGCACGTCATGATTCTGGTCCACAGACGTAAACAGGAAACACGCAGAACCACTAACCATACGCCTTTCATTCTACCGCTCCCAGAACCCAGGATATGCGTGTCGAGAAAAACGACAGTAAATCGAACCACAACTTCAACTGCATAAATCAGCTGTATATATATTCACACACGTCGCAGGGAGAAACCTTCCACCTTTATCTCCACAATGAATAATACCAGAGGGGAAGATATGTGACACAACAACTACTCTCGTAACCGTACAATCAAGTGGACGTTATTTCAGCTGCACCAGAAAATTGATCTAAATTTGGCTCCTTGAGTCAAACCAGGGGCGTTAATAACGTATCTATGACATCAAACTGTCATTTATATTACACATCTTTTCACGTTTCATTGTATAATGTCTATCAACTGTATCAATTTTCATTCCATTTAACACAATTAGATTAGTATCATCTTCAAAAGAACTCTATCGATTGTGATCTCAATTTCGATAAAAAATGTGTCACTGCAGTTCCGTGCAGCATGTCGAGAATCAACAGACCAACCCAGAAGCAACATAACTACTTTTGACCTTAAACCCTTAATCGTATTTTTATGGGGAATGATTAACATGATCCAAACACTTTAATCAAATACATGAAATAAAGGATCAGTACCTCTTGAAAAAGAAACACAATGGCTCCACTTCCGGTTCCGCTATGCGTCTCAATTTCCGCCATGATTGAATCAATCAATTCCTAGTTATGGCTTCTGGTGCTTGCGAACAATGAAGGGCGGTATTGTTTCGCTGTCTAATCCTTCTGATTCTTGTAATGTACTTTCAATCAAGGTAATAGTTGACATATTTCATTGTTCGATACAAAGATGCATGTATATTTTTGTATACATTCGTGGCATAACAAACTCAGGTTATGATCTTAGAGTTGCATTTCTGATTAATTATTGATACAATTTCTGACAGCTGCATTGCTTTATTTTTCCGCCCTCGGTGACTTGTTCTGTAGAGTTTTTCGGGGTCACGGGCAATGTTTCTATTTCAGTTCGCCGAGTACATCAATATAACACAAGCCGACGTAAAGCTATTTAAAACGTATCATAACAAGTCGCAAGATCTATTTAAAATATCGGTAAGTGCCGTGGCCGTCAATGAATGTCTGAAGATTTATCGTTTTAATAAACTGTTCCAAATATTTATTACCAAGTCTTAGATGTAGGTCGATAAGTGTGTTCATCATGGATGTATAAATACGAGTCACTTCAACGCTATACTTATCACACTCCATGTCTCACGTAATCACTCTATATGTGTGAGAGAAATATTTGTAATACACGAAGTAGTCATTTAAGAGACAAGTTTCAAATGCACTATTTATGATGTTTCAAAATTGTTTTGGAAATAGATTATTCAAAAGGTTTTTCCCTTCTTGTGTATTTATGAGAAGGTTAATATATATATTTTTGCAAGCATTTGAATGTTTCATTGGTTATGGGCAAGTATGATTTTATAAGATGCATAATTCAATTTGAAATTGTGACATTTGGGTTCCCAGCTGTGTCAGATCGTATCGACCTTCTGGTGTAAAGAGTCACTTTGGAACAGTGTTTTCTACTTTATTACATTTGCAGAACATGTCGTGTATACTTTCCTTGCTGTGCATCTACCAACATGGAACAGCTGACGTTCTCTTTCATAAATCTGATTCTCTAGATTCAAACTAGATACCTAGGATCAAACTAGATACCTGTAACCTGAGGTCGTGTGATCCCATTCTATGAGTTCGATCCCAACAGTACACTAACAGGGTTGTTATTTATTTATTACACTCACTTGGTCAAATGCGTACTCATTAAATAAAT